TCTGTCACATGTGGTTCAAGCGCGTCAGAAATACGAGAAAAACCTTCTCCTAGTTCACGTGTCTGCCGTCAGAAATACAGTGTGTTCCCGGCCTGTCAGCTGTTAGCTCAGCGGCTCTCTCTCTCTCTCTCACTCACACACACTCACTCACTCACTCACTCACTCACTCACTCACTCACACACACACACACACTCACACACACACACACACACACACACACACACACACACACACACACACACACACACACACACACACACACACACACACACACACACACACACACACACACACACACACACACACACACACACACACACACACACACACACACACACACACACACACACACACAGAGAGAGAGAGAGAGAGAGAGAGAGAGAGAGAGAGCAAACCAGAGTACTGGCATTAGGGGTGTCAAAATTAATTGTTTCTTCGGTGCACCGGGATGCAGACGCGGACAATTCGGTATCGGTTCAGTAATAATCATAACCGGTTATTATGTAGTGACGTCATTGATCTCCAATGCGCTCTGTCGTGAGGGAGGTGAGCGCGAGTATTTACAACACTCAGCCAACTCAGGGCCGGCCTGTGGCATAGGCACCATAGGCAAATGCTAAGGGCGCTGTACATGCAGAGGGCGCCAGAAAGGAGCGCGGTTCAGTTGGTTTTGTTTTCGATATTCCTGACACTCATTCAGTTACAGACGGCAATAACTCAAAATCCTCTTACCCTAAAAAGATCTAAAGTGTGTTTCCTACAAAAAGACAAAGCTGGTTATGTTTCACAGCTGTCTTTCTTTTTTTTCGCTCCACACTACGAGCACTGCTCCGTTTAAGCCCTCGCAATATGTGTTTAGCCGGGAGAGCTCGCGCTGAGAGGAGCTCTCAGCAAGGGACCGTCGGAAAAGTGCTTATTTTTTTCGTTTTTTTTTTTTTTTTCGTTTTTCTGCTCCGCTCTTCGCGAGCTCTCCCTGTTGCGAGGGCTTAAGTGTGTGCGTGCGTGCGTGTTTGTTTCTTTGGTGCTGTCTATGTTTGTGTGTGAATGAGAGACAGTGTGGTGCTGAGTCTCTGTGTGTTTATACAGACAGCTTGTTATAGCCTCTCCTCTAAAATATAACACTGTATATGGAAAGCACCGTCAATGCACCGTGATGCACCGAAATATCGAATTGAACCGAATCGAAGGCATGATATCGTAACCGAACCGAACCGTGAGACCAGTATAGGTTCACACCTCTAACTGGCATGAAACTTAACAGGTATGAAAGTCGTGCAATTTACAAAAATGAGCAATAAAAGTCTGTTATTGATCCTCTGCTGCTGATTTGCTGTTCATTCTAATCGCGAGCCGTTTGTGTTTTATTTCGTGTGTTGTTTTCACCACGGTTTGTGTTTTTCTGTCATTTGGAAATGACACTAGCCTATATTTTCACTTTGTCACAGTTATTAAATCAGTGTGTCAGTGGCACAGTACAGGCTATGTGTGTGTGTCAAACATTTTGGTGAGCTACATTAGTTTGGGCTGGTTATATATTTGAAATAAAGAGAAAATGTCGACTTTAGCGATGACGAGGCTTCATTTAAACTGCAGAAGATGCCGTCTGACACCGAGGGGAAAACGCCTCACAGCAGCTGTTTTCCATCCTATAAGATGGCATTTCTTTAAATGATCAGTCCAGGAGATGCTGCTGATGGACAACAGTATTAGTTCAAAGAGGATAAAAGCAGGTAAAATAGATTAAAACTATCGTTTCAAAGCTGTCCAAACGTGACTGTTTACACGCATCAGCTGCCGACCGGAAGTCCTTCGCATTCTCCTTGCGCATACACGCAAAGCATCATGGGTAATTTTGCGTTCCAAGAAAAAGGTCTATAAGAAATATTTTTAAAAAATAGATTTTTTTTCACCATGATTCTGCCTAAATACACTTCAGCTTTCATTTAGTTAAAGCGTAAAACGAGATGAAAAGCCGTTTACACATAAGCACCCTAAGCAGCAGCAGGCTAGCACAGAAACTCCATTGAAAATACTGCAGTGAAATAAACGTTCATATTTTAAAGAAATAGCAGGGGAAAATGTAATTTAATGCAGTGCTTCTTATCTAGTCTGAGACCCACTTTAGATCGTTTATCAATCAGGCATATTGACTGGAAGCGCTTGGGCTGACTGACTGAAAATTAAACATCTCTGTGCATATACACCATTGCATGGAAAAACTGGCCCTTATTTCCCTGCAGTTTTTCCTTGGCGTGCGTTTATGAGTGTACAAGCGTATGAACCTGTTCTGGGGTGGGTGTGAGATGATGTTTGCCGGACAGCAGGTCAGCCAGAGCACTCAGAGTCTGCTGGACGAGTCTGTCTTTGACCTGCACGTCTCTCTGGAGCTCCTCGAGATACATCAGACCGCTCTGAATAAAACAAATAAACACACAGCACTCACCATCAGATCTGAGCGGGGTATTCCAATAAAAAAGGCATGTTTAAATGTATTAGCCAACAATTGAAATTGCATTGCAAGGACATTTAAACATGCTTCAAAAATAATAATAAATACAGAGAGCCGATTCCTTCAACACATTTCTAATCATGATAGTGTTAATAACTCATCTCTAATAACTGATTTATTTTCTCTTTGTCATGATGACAGTAAATAATATTAGACTAGATATTCTTCAAGACACTTCTATACAGCTTAAAGTGACATTTAAAGGCGCGCTCACACACACACACACACACACACACACACACACACACACACACACACACACACACACACACACACACACACACACACACACACACACACACACACACACACACACACACACACACACACAAACACAAACCCACAAACACGAAGTCAGAATTATTCGCCTCCATTACAATTTTTTTTTCTTATTTTAAACATTTTGCAGATGATGTTGAACAGATTAAGGAAATGCTCACAGTATGTCTAATAATATTTTTTCTTCTGGAGAAAGTCTTATTTGTTTTATTTCGGCTAGAATAAAAGCAGTTTTTAATTCTTTAAACACCATTTTAAGGTCAATATTATTAGCCCCCTTATTTTTGATTGTCTACAGAACAAACCGTCATTATACAATAACTTGCCTAATTACCCTAACCTGCCTAGTTAACCTAATTAACCACGTTAAGTCTTTAAATGTCACTTTAAGCTGTATAGAAGTGTCTTGAAAAATATCTAGTCTAATATTATTCACTGTCATCAGGACAAAGATGTAATAAATCAGTTATTAGAAATTAGTTATTAAAACTATTATGATTAGAAATGTGTCGAAAAAATGTCTCTGTTAAACAGAAATTGGGGAAAAAAATAAACAGGGGTAATAATTCTGACTTCTACTTAAAAAAAATTATATATATATATATATATATATATATATATATATATATATATATATATATATATATATATATATATATATATATATATATATATATATATATATATATATATATATATATATATACTCACATTTATATAATGTCGCACGTGTATAAACAGGTCTATGTAAATGTACTTCTAAATAGATATTGCTTCAGACCTATATTCAGACATACAAATTTACAGAGATATAAATTTAGATGTATATATACATGGCTATATCTGTTCATATCTATGTCAGTTTATATATATAACTTTTTATATATATACATTTTTATCATTTAAATATCTTCATATATATATATATATATATAGTATATATATATATATATATATATATATATATATATATATATATATATATATATATATATATATATATATATATATATATATATATATATATATATATATATATATATATATATATATATATATATATATATATATATATATATATATATAATTTTTTTTAAGTAGAAGTCAGAATTATTACCCCTGTTTATTTTTTTCCCCAATTTCTGTTTAACAGAGACATTTTTTCGACACATTTCTAATCATAATAGTTTTAATAACTAATTTCTAATAACTGATTTATTACATCTTTGTCCTGATGACAGTGAATAATATTAGACTAGATATTTTTCAAGACACTTCTATACAGCTTAAAGTGACATTTAAAGACTTAACGTGGTTAATTAGGTTAACTAGGCAGGTTAGGGTAATTAGGCAAGTTATTGTATAATGACGGTTTGTTCTGTAGACAATCAAAAATAAGGGGGCTAATAATATTGACCTTAAAATGGTGTTTAAAGAATTAAAAACTGCTTTTATTCTAGCCGAAATAAAACAAATAAGACTTTCTCCAGAAGAAAAAATATTATTAGACATACTGTGAGCATTTCCTTAATCTGTTCAACATCATCTGCAAAATGTTTAAAATAAGAAAAAAAAATTGTAATGGAGGCGAATAATTCTGACTTCGTGTTTGTGGGTTTGTGTTTGTGTGTGTGTGTGTGTGTGTGTGTGTGTGTGTGTGTGTG